GATTTCTAGGAAAAAACCCACAACAATCTAGAAAATGAAAGTAGAAGGATTCAGCTTTCCACCTACTGATAAAAATGTTATTGTACCAGAAGAGGGAGAAATTGCCACTGGGCACTTAGGGGCCCTAGAGCCTCAGTGGGTGCATAAGGCAGTGCCACAAGAGGTGTAACAAGTGAGGAGGTCTCAGCCCTGCATCTGTGTCTGCTTAGCAAATGCAGGTGAGTGAGGAGCCACCCAGGTTTCTCCCCTGCATCTCTGAGTCGAGTTAGTCTTGTAATCCTGAAGCAGAAAAGGGTAGTTCTTGTCCCTGTGGGTTGACGGGTGATGGGAGGGAACAGGGACAGTTGGCTCCTTCTGGGCTAAGCTTCTTTGCTCAGGATGGAGTTCCTGGACTCTGATTGCTCCATCCTGTGGTGCTTTCTGAAAGCAGAGGGGCAGAGCTCAGGGATGCTCCAGGGCAGAGACGTTGTGGGGGTGCAGAAATGCCCTGGGGCATCCCCTGCCCTCGTGTCCCACTGCCGCTGTGTGGGGCAGAAGGGGACTCACCTGCGTCTCCACACGGCAAGCAGCAGCAGGGCAGCTACGGCCGCGGCTCCCAGCAGCCCGGCCAGGAGCGCTGTGATGAGCAGCAGCTGCGAGTTCCCTGCGGAATAGAAGGAGGGGCTGGCACGGCCTTGGCGGGCTTTGCTCCGTGCCCCAGGGCGGGGCGGCTCGGGCGCCCCATGCCGTCCCCGCGGGTGGCACCTACCCCAGGGGACGAGGAGGCTGCGGGTGCCCAGGCTGCGGTGGCGCACGCGGCAGGCGTAGCTGTGCCCGTCCTGGGGGGCCACGGCCAGGACGCTGCGGAGCTGGTAGGTGAGGTCAGCGTTGGGCAGGACGGGGCCGGTGCTGAGCTGCGGGCCCGGAGGCACCTCCTGGCCATCCCTGAGCCAGGCCACGCTGATGGGCCGGGGGTAGAAGGCGGTGACATGGCAGACCAGCAGCAGCTGCTGTGGGCTGGGCGTGCGGGCAAAGACCGTGACCACGGGCAGCTCTGGGGGATGGGAGCAAAGGGAAGCCCTGGTTGGGCAGGGCTTGGCCCCAGGGCTTTGGGGTGGCCGTGACAGGGTCAGGGTGGTCTCACCTTGTCTCTCCAGAGCTGCCCTCCCGTAGCTCAGAAACCTCTCCATGGCATCGACACAGGTATCATTGAAGAGGACCTCGACCAGCTCACTGAAGGCGGTGTAGTTCTTGAGTAAGGCCAGGATGTACCGGGACAGGTCGGTGTCCTGGGAGAGGGTCCAGGTAACATTGTCTGTGTCAAAGCTGAGGAAATCCTGCCCGTTGTAGCCCACATAGGCGAAAACCCGAGAGGTCCTGTTGGGGTAGAGCTCACAGCCTGCCCTGCACTGAACCACAAAGGAGTCTGGAGGGGCAGAGAGGAGAGAGAGGTTGCATGAGGGGCTGGGATTGCCTTGCTGTGGACATGATCAGTGTCCCCTGTACAGTGCCAGCACTTGTCAGATCCTTCCCCAGTACCCAGCTGCTGTTCAGAGAGGGGAGGCAGTGAAGACTGGATACTCACAGGGCACATCCTTCTGCATGGCCCCTTCATTGATCAGCTGGCTGAACTGCTGCAAGTAGATCTTGAGCATGTTGTCAATGGTGTCCCAGTCCATGCGGGGCAGGGCTTGACGCACCCAGGGATGGTAGAAGTGGATGGACCAGGTGTGCTTATCAAGAGAACCTAGTTCGATGTCTTCCAGCAGGCCCAGCCCCTCTGTCTCCACAAAGGAGGTGTTTTGGAAGGTGGAGGTCTGGAGCAGTCGGAAAGTGACGGTCCCTACATGAGACAGGGGTTGGCAGGGAGGAGATGGGAGTGGGAGGAGAGGGACAGGGAAAGTGGAGGGGCTGACAGGCAGGTCCTTGAGGTTGCAATGATCTGTGGGCCCCCCTTGGCTCCTACAGCCTTGGCAGCCCCGGTTCCCACCCCCTGCACCCACCCCAGGTGGCTGCATCCCTGCCGAGGAGGACGTGTGAAGCCAGGGAACGAGGAGGGGTGAGGAAGCAAGAGCCAAAAGTGGATGGGGAGCAGGAAGCCTCTTGCCCAGGGAGTCCCACGGGGCCATGGGAGCAGCTGTGGATGAGCCAAGGCTCCCACTTACCCTCCAGAGTTGCCCATGTGCCAGAGAGGAGGAAGAGGTAGAGCAGGAGGAGGAGGCAGCAGCAGCGAGGGGGCTGCATGGTGCCAGCAGTGAGGCCCAGAGTGTGCAGCAGTGGGTGCAGCAGCAGCAGCAGGACGAGGCTGTGTGAGATGAGGCTGGAGATATCTCAGGCTGGCTCTGCCTGGGCAGCTGTGCTGGTGCTCATGGCCCTGGCAGCCAATGGGGCTGGCCCTGAGGTTTAGGGGAGGGCTCTGAAGTTCCCCCTTGGGGTGGGCTGGGGCAGCCTGGGTATGACTGTGAGTGTTGGGGGAATTTGCTTGTGAGCAAGGTCAGCCCACTGCACGCAGGGGTGATCCCTTAGGGCCAAGGCAGCAGCTGGACAATTAGGGTGGTGTGGGTGAACTGAGCCCTCTTTTCAGGGGCTGCATCCACTGCCCTGATGCCGTAGCCTGGACTGCCAGTTGTGCCTGGCATGTGTCGCCCTGCCCAGAACAGACACCACCATCCACTCTGCACTGCCAGCTGGGTTCACACCAACGGGGCTGCCTTTCCCTCAGGGCAAGTAAAACCCCTTCCCACCTCATGGCTTCATTCTGGGCTCTCTGTGCCCCAGCTTTGGTACGGATCCCTGTCCCCCTGCTGAAGAGTCCCCTGTGCATGGGAACAGGAACGATGGGAGCCATTCCCCTGCTCTGGCCCCACTGGCACCAGTGTCTGGTGCTGGAGGGATATTGGGGTGACCAGAGCCAGTCTCACCCCCCGTGTCCCTGATCCACTGCTGCTCCCTCACCTGCAGTTTCTGTTCCCATTTCCTGGAGGGAGCCCAAGTTGAGGGCAAAGGCAGAGCTGAAACCACATTTGAGGGGAAGTCTGAGATGAGGTGCCCTGATAACAACCAAACACAACCAGAGCAGAGGTGTGTGCCCACCCTGGTGTGTGACCCCTCCAAGCACAACTGGATCCCGGTGTCACTGCTCCATGTCTCCATTTTTGGTGTCTCCAGCTGTGGGGACACGGGGAAGGCCCATGTGGTGCTGCTGCAGGCTGAGGTCCAGCCCCTTGTGACACTGAGTCAGTCGTGGGGACACAAGGACACCAACCCCCTTCCCTTCCATGGAGCTGTCCCAGAGAGAAGTAGGGATGCTGTGGTGGCCTGGCAGGCCCAGAAATGGCACCAACTTCCCCAGCAGCATCACCCAGGGGATGTTCAGCTATGCCACCACGAAGTCCACATCCCTTCCTTTGAAGCCACCAGTGCCCAGAGGGGAGTGTTTGGCTGGTGGGATGGCAAAGCACAGCCCTGGGGCAGCCAGGGAGGGAACGGGCAGAGAGGCTTTTGTCCACCCTGTCCTGTGAGGTGACCACTTGTCCCCACGGTCCCCTCTAAGATGAGTGTTGGGGACATTTTGCTGAGCAGCTGAGGGTTCATTCTCAGCCCTCTTTTCTTGCAGGTGTGTTGTGACCCAGCTGTGGAGGCTGGATAACCAAGGTTGTTGTTAATAATAGTTTCCCTGAGGAGGATTAGTGGGAAATGACACTGAATGACTGGTGTTTATATATATATATGTATATGGCAGGTTTATTTTAAGGCAATGGAAAGGAGGTATGGAGCCATTTTGGTTATTATCTGTCGAAATATAACAGTATAGAAGTGTAAAGACATAATTTTGGAAAATACATAAGGAAAAGAAAGAAAGGATAAGAATAGATATTGGAGTGAATCTCTAAGCTTATTTTGCGTGTTTTTTTTTTTTCCCCAAGAAAAGGTGAAAATTGATTCACAATCATTCAGCAAGTGCTGAGTTCTTCCCTGCATCACATCTTTACCAATGCTGATGGGCAGCATCACGCCGGTGTTTAGAGGAATTGGACTTCATCTCACTGACTAGGCGGCAAGGGATGCTGCATCACTCCCTGGATGTCAACACTGTGGGAAAAGGAAAGATCTTTTGTGCCGGTGTTTCTCAAAGAGGTGCATGTACAGAGAATGTTACAGGTATGCAGGGAGCGATAGCAGCAGAGGTGGAGGACGGAACTGTGTGGGAGCAGAAAGGGAAGACGAGGAGGTGCTGCAGTGTCAGAGAATCGACCTCAGCCTCCCTCGTGGCAGGTCCGGAGCCTCCAGCACACCTGAGATACCACATCAGCAGCACAGCCCTCCTTACCTATCCAGCACCCTCCACCACGTCCTGCCCCGCTGCCCCGCGGAGGGAAGGTGTCCTGGAAGGCACAACATCTGCATTCCAAGATCACCTCGCGTGTGACCGTGGCGGGCCTGCTTTGCCAACAACCCTGCGGACTCTTACTCGGGCACCAACTCTCAGCGGGCACCGCACATCCTGTCCGCGCTTGCAGGAGCCTCACGGCAAAGCACCTACGGCACGAAATCAGTGACCAGGCTGGGCTGCAGAGCCGGGGTGGCCCGGCCGCTCTGAGCCGTGCTGCCCCTCAGGCGGCTGGGCTGGCCTGGGCCGGGTTCGGCTCGGCTCACTCCGCTCCGCCCTCAGCCCCGGCCCCGTGTGAGGCGAGGGCGCGGCGGGGCCGGAGGAAGGGCTGGGATCGGTGTCCGTGAGGGGGTCCCTGCCCTCCATCGGAGCGGGGCGTACCCGGTGGGCATTGGGGCTGTTCGGAGGCCCCTCAGGCCGCCCCTGGTGCTGGGGAGGCGGCGGCATCATCCTCCTCCTCCTCCTCATCATCACCACGACCACCACCACCTCTCGTCTGGCAGCCCCGGCGTTGCCCCAGTGCGTAATCTTTTCGTGTGGCAGAACGAGACGCGGTGAAAGGGTTTTAGGAGTTAAACCTTTGGCTGTCCTGCTTCCCGCAGCCCGGCATTCAGGGAAGGAGAGAGGGAGGATGTCGGTGAAACCCTTCACCTATCCGCTGCCCGAAACAAGGTTCCTGCACGCTGGCAGGGTCGTGTACAAGTTTAAAATCCGCTACGGCAACTTCAGCAAGTAAGTGTGTTAAAGATGAGAAGTCAGTCTGCGGATTGTTGGGTTCATATGGGACCCTAAGTTCAGATCTTTGGGGGTCCTCATTTCCTGCCTTTTATCCCACTGGCCACTGAAAAGTTGCTGCTGATGCTTTCCACACGCTTAGAGAGTAATCCAAGCTGTAAAAAAAAACCCCACTCCTGTTTCATTGCCATGTGTGAATGTTTGTGCTTCGGTGGAAAAGAGGAGGATTTTACAGGTAGTATTTAACTGTAAGGATTTAACAGAGAAACTCTAGAGCCTCTGTGGTGGTTTAAGCCCCACGTGGCTGCAGTGGAGTGAGGGAGACCACTGGAAAGGCAGAAGTAAAAGCGATGGGTTAAGATAAAGGCAGTTGAGTAAGTAAGGCAAAAGATACACATGCAAGCAAAGCAGAGTAAAGGCTTGAGTTCGTTCACTGCTTCCCATGGGCAGGCAGGTGTTTAATCTCCTGGAAAGCAGGTCTTTCCTGTGGTCAGTGCAAAATGGTTACTTAGGAAGACATCTGCCGTGATGCCAAACTTCCCCCCTGCCTTTCTCTGCTCTGTGTTTTGTTCCCAAGCGTGCCATCCTCAGGTCTGGAATATCACTCGGGTCAGTTAGGGTCATCCCCCCCAATCCTTGTTCTCTCCCGACCTCATGTGCACCCTCAACCTGCTTGCTGTGAGGAGCAGAAAAGCCCTTGGCGCTGGGTAAGTATAGCTCAGCAGTAAGGAAAACATCTCTGTGTTATCAACACAATTGACTTCTATCCCAGTCAAAACCAGCACAGCCCTGGAGCTCTGTACTCAGTGTATGTTCTTACTTCCTGGGCTGTTTGTTGTCATCCACGTGCCCTTCTGAAGAGGGAGAGGAGTTCTCATCTCTGACCATGTTCTGGCTGGGCCCCTTGGTGGGGAAGATGTGATCGTGCCTGCCTGCCAGACCATAAACCAGGGAATATTTGTGTGCCTTGGATTCCTTGCACTCCACTTTATTTACTTACTTTCAAGTGACCTTTATGTGGTTTGTTTACTTTTTAATGAGTTTGGATTTTCTTTAAGGCCACCTCTTTTCCTGTGCATTAGATTGTTGGTGCTGGAAGGGCATTCCTCTGTGGGTTTGCACAGGGTGGGGATTAACACACATGTCCTGCCAGTTCTTCCTTTTAGTCCCTTAAGCAGAATGGCACCACAATAGAGGAAGAAGGGAGTGGTTTGAGGGCACCGTTTCAAAAAACCCCAGTCCTGAGGGTTACTGGGGATCAACTGTAAAGGTCTGATCTCTCATCCATTGTATCCACAGATACACAAAACGTTCACAAGGAACAATCCTTGTGGAATGGTGGATGTTTTTAAAGAATAATAGATTAAGAATTCATCTGCCTGCTAAGTATTTTTTTCCTGTGCAGTGGGAACAATGATTTGTTGCTGTTTACACTCTTATATCAAGTGTAGCTCCACTGCTTTTTGATGGGATGGTTCCAACTCTGTTTGTTTCACAGTGCTCCCGATCTCAGTCTTGCTGAAAGTGCTGCCAAGGAGTCAGAGGTAGGAGCTGAGGCAGGTCCTTAGGACCTTGGGTGGGTGTTAAGCTGAACAAATCTTATGTTTGCTGTGGGACAGAGAACATTTTGTCAAATGCAACATCTCAAGGGTGAATAAAGGGGAACTTCTCTGCAGAGTCTGAGGGTGAAAAAATTGACATAAATTAAAAATGTCCTCAGCAGGCAAAATTAGTGTAGAGGAGTCACGCTTTTATTTCAAATATTGCAAAGAAGCTACTGACTGCTAAAACTGGACAAATGGAAACTCCTGATTGTCGAGCTAGTTGCACCCTGTTCCTGTCTGATTCTTCCTCACAGTTATTTTTGCAGGAGTACATTTTTTTCACAGATTCTGAAAATACTGAAAGGTATTAATAGAAAAGCTTTCCTGTTAGTAGAGCAGGAGCTTTTTGGGGCTTAATTGTCGTTCCCTTGTAACTGATTTGGGTCAATATTCAGCAAAAGAGGAATACTTTTATTTTTGCACAAGTAAATGCTACATGTGTTTTGCTGGAAAAAAACCCACCACTTCTTAAATTTAAAACTTATTTAATTTGAAGGCATATCTTCACTCTCCATAGTAATTCTTCTATGTTGATGTAAGGTTAAGATACTCCTTCAATTTCTATGAGTCTGTCAGTGCAGGGCGCTCTAAGATGATCAGAGGGAGTGGAGAGAAGAAGTGGAGGAGGAAAAGCAGAGTATCTAGAACCTGCTTTTCCGTGATTCATGCAAACAGTAAAGCTAATTTTTCCCAATCCTTCAAACTTTAATTGTTACTGTTCTTAATATTGTTGCTTGTTTTTTGTTTTGTTTTGGTTTGGTTTTTTTGTTTGTTTGTTTTTTGGCCTCCCCAGGAAGTGATTCGAGTAATCCTTGGAAACCTTGATGACTTACATCCATTTTCTACAGACCACTTCACTGTCTTTCCGTGTATCCTTTCTTTGCTGTTCATGAAAGAAAAGATTCAATGACCTGTGTGTGTTGGGCATTGCCTAATTCAACATTCACCTGTAGGAGTGTGCTCATCTTTAGCTGGAGCAGGACTCCTTCAAGCTTTGCTGTTTGACACTGGCTGAAGATCCTTCTCAGACGTTGCCTTCACCAGAGAACTGATGTGAAAACAGTGTTTTGCAGTGCTTCCATTAGAACACCCCTGCATTCCAGATCAGATTTGGCCAGAGAAAATGCAGGTGTGCCCAGAAGTCCACCCTCCTGCCACTGCAGGCACAGCCAGTGCGTTATTCCCAAAGGTTCATAAATGGTAAAACTCTATGAATGGTTTTATTCATAGGGTTGGAAGAGCCTGGCAGGTTGGTCTTTTTGCAGGAGGGTGTCAGGAGGGCAGCACAGTTAAGGGAATAGAACACCCAGTACAGGTAACTGATGGGGCAGTGTCAGCTGGGTGAGTGTTTCTTCATAAGGTGCTTTTTCGTGAAGCTCATGGTGGCAGGTTGGATGTGCTCCCTGGTGTACATGTGCAGCATGATGTGGCTTTTGAAGGCACTGTCGGGACTCCTGCTCCTTTGAAATGTTAGTGCTGTGTTTGCAAGCCTTATCATTGTTCTCAGATTTGAGTAAATGGGAGAGAGTGTCGAAGATGAAATTCAAACATGACAACGTCCGTCTTGTGCCTTATCCCTACATTTGCACATTGTATCTAGAACTGAACTCATTTCAGCAAAACGTGTCTTGTGGTAAGTCACTGTGGTTATGTTTGGGTAATTTCTGAAAATACCTGTGATCTGTGTCTTGCATTTCCCTTTCCCTTCTCCTGCTTTGAATGAGAGAGAGCAAAACTGCATGTGGTGTGGTTTGAAACAGAGCCTAATAGTGTGTTCTCTATTGTCCTGTGTTGCTTTTCTAAAATTTCCTGAATTCCTCTTTGCCTTTTCAACCACTGCTCACTCTTCAGCAGGTATTTATTCTTGTGAAGAATAAATAATAACACATAATAACTAATAATAATAATAATAAATTCTAATGAAGTGATGCCCAGTGGCTTCCAACCTTCATTTTTTAATGTCAGTCACTGGGCTGGAGCCATTACGTGGAGCCATTGAAAACATGTTTTTCTTCCTTGTGCTTGACTACATTTGCTGACATCACGCTCTTTGTTTCTAGTTTCCTAAAGAAAGAATGGATTTGTGTTTCTAAATAATGATAGTAATGGTGGTAATAATGTCTTTTGTATCATTATCAAATGTTGTCACCCTCAACAGTGTCTCATTTTCCAGGTTTTCTGTGAATTCCCTGAACAGCCTCGGGCCCCAGCTGTGGGACTCCACATTTAAATTCCCCTGTTGCAAAAACTGAGTGTTCTTACTATTTCCTGTTCTGATTATCAGGCCCTGAAAAAAGTTGCCATTTTTTCTTATGACTGCTTAGCAGGTAATCTGATCTCCTTCATAAAATGGCCAGGCAGTCATTTCTTAGTCTCACCCATTTGCACTCCCTGTCAAACACCCCACGTTTGGATGTAAAAACTGTGGAAAGGTCCAAACTGTTTTTGGCAGCAGCTTATCTTGTTCCTGGAAGATGAGGTGCAATGCAAAAATACACTTTTCAGTTGGTTACAGAGAGTCCAGTCTAAATAATCACCAAGTTTTATACCTCTGTTTACAGGTAAAGAAGTAAACAGGGGCAGTGATGAGCTTGTAAGTTGTACCTTTGTTTTTGTTTGTTTTGTTTTTTTTTTTTAATTTGTGTTCAAAGTATTCTGGAGAAACAGAATGTGTATATTTAGGCAATGCTGCAGTTCTTGTACTTCTAGGAGCTGGTCAGTGTAAACTGTCACTGAGTCTCACCTAGAGCCACCCAGCAGGAGAGAAATCTTCCTCTCAGTTCCAGTGGGGTTGGAATGCAGTCCTGCCATAAACAGCAGTGTTAAGCTAATTTGGTAATTTTTGTGTAATGAGAGCTCAGGGTGGGTTTGTTTTCAGTATAGGTGAGTGTCTGAAGATGGAGTGAATTAATGAAGGTGTCCTGTCCAAATTTCCCCTAAGAATGTCTCTGCTGTCTCTGCTAGCATTACATTCCTGCTACTTACATTGCTAGGCAGTCCTCTGAAGATGGAGCAAATAGGATGTCCTGGAATGCAGGATTTTGTTTAAAACTGTTGAGCATAATTCTCTGGATGGCCTCCCAGTGCTTATCTTAGTCCTGAACCCTTCTTCTGTTTTCATTCTATAAACAGGAATGACTTTGCAAAATACAAATGTATATTAACTCTGAATTTTGTTCCAAAGTAGAGAAGTCAAAATCACTTGTTATCAATGCCAAGTTTGCAATGTTTTGAAGGTCAGGAGAAGAAATGAAGTATCAGAAAATACTGCAGTGGAAGAAGCAGTGAAGAGGAGGAGAGTGGAAGTTGGAGCGGAGAACTCATGCCCACAATTGCATATGGACAGGTGAGTTGAATGACAAAATAATCTCCCTGGATATATCTCCCTGGTATTTTTAATGTCTCTTTTATGCCTCTAAATTTAATGTTTCTGGTGTCCTCACGTTTCATTTCTGTGCAATCCTTTGCCCTGTTTTTCTTCTTCCTCCTCTTCCATAAGTAACAGAATCCCAGTGGCATTGCTCATACTGGTGGAAAAAAGTGTTCTTGTGCTTCCCAGCTTCCCATGCCATGGACCAGACCTCTGCCTGTTTAATTCCTCTGTGTTCACATAATCTTTTGACTCACAGTGGGGTTAAGAGCTCGGCAGCCAGACAGATTGCATGTGTTGTCTCTGCACATGAGTATTCTCATCTTTCCTGCTTTCCAATGAAATACTTGGAGCAGCCATTTACAAGATTGCTTCCTTTTTGTGACATTTTGTAAACTCAGTTCTTACTTACTTGACTTATTTTTAGAACTGGAGCTGACTCTGTTCACCAGATGAGTAAAGCAGAGCATGGATTTGAAAAGGTGAGTTAGAGAATATTCAGAAGGAAACAACAGCACCTGTTTAGTCCTTGTCCCTAACACCTGTGTCCTCCTGGCTGTCAGTCATCCTCCCAAATGTCCCTGGTATGTTAAAGTCTAAATTAATTACAGCTTTATGTTAGGCCTGTGAATGTCCTGAGGAGGGAGGTGTAAAAATATCTTCATGAAGAAAGTCCTCATAGTAGCAGAAAAAAACCCCAAACCCCAAAAGAACAAGAGAGCAGACCTTGCCTTTTAGTACTTTTAGCACTTGCTTAGCAAGCAAGCAAACTAAAATCTCTGCACAATAGAATTTTGCATTGTGTAACAGTTCTTGGGTTCCTTTTCCTTTCAGAATTCTTCCAGAGCAAATGAGTGCAAGTTTAGCCCAGCATCCCTTACTAAAGACTGTGAGTAAGGAATTCCTGGATTGTCCCATTCCACTGGGTGTGCAGGGAGCATGGAGTGAGTGAGGTTGTGGTTTTGCTCTTGCTGCTGTTCCTTACAGGGAAATGTGTGGAATCTGCCCTTGAACAAGGAACAGCAGCCAGTCAGGCTGAGGGTGCAGTGCAGATGCAGCAGCAAATGGACCAAACAGGAAAGAAAGGAAACGGGAAGTCGGAAGGAAGAAGTCTCTCAGCGTTCTGGAGAAGGTACTAATCCTGCAGCAGTGAGCAGATGCTGCCCTGGCCCTGTCTAAGCCCGTGCCAGGGGCTGATTTTGGCAGTTCAGGGGATTTTGCACAATTCTGGAGGATGGAGACCTCTTTTCTGTGGTTAAACCAAAGTCTCCAAAGGGCAAAGAAACATTCGGGAATGTCCTTTTATATCGTGCTAAGGTGCAGCATTCCCAATAAACATTCTTCTCCTGAGCTGTCTTTGGGAAAGAACACAAGAGGGCCACTGAATCTCTGTCACAGCCCTTACACAAAGTGGCTGTTCTTGGCTGGGGAGTGCATGGCAGCAGTTGGACACTGGGAGCAGCTTTTTAGTGAGATGCAGCTTTGTAGTGAGTTAATTTTGTAAGAGATAAAACTTGTTCTTAATTGTAGTGTTTGCCATCCCTTTAATGACTGAGACCAGACCGTCAGGGCACAAGTCATTCTTTGTTTCCTCCATTTTTCCAGTTTCTTTCTGTGTTGTTTTGTACTGGCATTGTGTCTTTCTGTTGGACAGAAATTGCCCCTTTCTCAACTCTCAGAGAAGTATTTTAAGTCTAATGTGCTCTTTTTGTTCTTGTTTCCCCAGCATCATCATTTTGCCACTGCAGCACCTTTTTGGTGGAAAGAACTGACCTGGTAGTACTAATTGTTGTGGAAAGGTAAATTTGTAGCATGATTGTTGGGTTGTGTTGTTTCTTCTGTAACTCAGTTTTTCATGTTGCTCGTCTCAGCTGTTAAAAACTTTAAATTAAATTCTACTTCATTTACATTTTCATAGTAATGTTCTGAAGATGCTGGGTTAGAATGTCTTTTTCTTCACAACTTGGAGTTTTTGGAAATAAAGCAAAAAAACTTTTGAGGTTTGGATCCTTAAGCATCATAAACTGTGAATTTAACATTTTGTGAGATTCTAATAAAGCAAACATTGGCTTGGAACTGCATGTTATTTTAATCAGACTTACCCAGGCAGGACACTTTCTCCCTGCAAGAAGAAGCAGAGGTTTTTAGTAGTAGATGGACTCCAGTGCTGTGCTTCACAGCATTAAAAAGGTCAAAATTATGGAAAATATTTTGGGTTTGATACACGACACCACAACTTGGGTTATTATTTATGCCTTCAATACATAGTGGGATGAGGCTGGGAGTGAAGACTTCAGGTGTGCCCCTTTAAGGCGGCTGAGCCAACAGCATACCTGCAACCACCAGCAATAGTTTAGGGAATAATGCTCCTTATTAATGTAAAATTGTGACAGGTCGAGGTTTGAAGATGCAAGTGAGATTATCTGACTGCAAAAACATATTTAAAGCAATATACAGAAAAGTTTTATCCCCTTTAATAGTTCTTACCTAATAGGCATCCCTATGGGAGAGAAGATAGGGAAGACAGGTTTAGCCCATCAACTGATCCCAGCAGCCCTCACAGAACCTATAGACATTACAGCCCCTTACAGCCCCTACAGCCCTGTCATCCCTCACATACCCCATAGCCCTCCCAGCCCACACTGACCCTGTAGTGTTCACAGACCCCATAACCCCTATAGCCCTTTTTACAGCCCCAAAAGCCTGCACAGCCTCTGTAGCTCTCACAGACCCCATAGCCTTCACAGAACTCATAGCCCTCACAGATCCAGAACCCTTTGTAGCCCTTATATCCCAAATAGCCTACACACCCCTATAGCCCACACAGACCCCCAGGTCTCAGAACCCCTACAGCCCCAATAGCCCTCACAGAACCCATAACCCTTACAGCCCTCAAAGCCCTTATCCCCCTCACTGGCCCCAGAGCTCTCACAGCCCCTCTAGCACCTTTTAGCCCCCATAGCCCTCACAGCTGGGACAGAAAGCTCGCTTGGACTTTGTCCCTTACATTTGGAAAGTTGTATTCACACCATGATCAGGCGACTGTCCTTTTCCCTCTACAGCCTGTAAACTGCAGTCTGCACATTCCTTTTCAGCTGTAAGAATCATCGTGCCCTTTCTGAAAAGGGTAGAAAAATGTGCCAGGACAGAAAGGATTGCTGCGTTACCCCTTTTCCCCCCAGCCTTTCTACTACGTGCATTCCTTTAAATTCCCGTGCACATTCCTTTAAAGCTGCATGAAATGCAGCAGGATCCCAGTTTCAAACATTAAAACGTCCAGCAGGTGGTCCCATGAGAAAAAGGTCCAAGAACAAAAAAGCCCACGCCCATAAAAAAGTTCCTGCAAGTAAAGCAAGTGCTGGCCTTCACCTTCCCTTCATCTGCAGCAGGTAAACCTACCAAACACACACCAGTGATTCCTAGATTACCCCTTCTCCTCGCAGCCTTTAAACTACACACGACACGTTTCATTTGAGAGCCGTGACCAAACGCTGTCGCCTCTGGAGCGGCTTTTTGGGCTGGTTTGGGTGCCCAGTGGAGCTGCTGAGCGGCGATGGTGGGGAAGGTCCACACGATGGCGCCGGATACTTGAAAAAGACGTAAATACATAGTTCTCTCCACCAAATGTGAAGATCCAAAGTTGAAAACTTGTCGCTGAGACAAGTCTGGCTTCATCTTCTCTTTAGCATGTTCTTCATTCCCCCTGATCGTCTTAAGGCCTTTCTCATCTTGGGTGTCTTATGTATTGTCGTGGTTTTGCCCTGGCTCAATTTACTTTTGTACCCCATACAATTATTATTAGCTGAGAGAAGGTTTATGCAGACAAAAAGAGACTGAATTTAAAAAGTATGAGTATTTATTATTAACAAACTAAAACTAAAGAATTATATTTACAACAATTCTATTTAAGTAAAAGGTATTATGTATTTACAAAAGATACTTCTCCCCCCACCTCCCTTTATATCAGTCCAAGGAGGAGAAGCAGTCCTTTTCTGTTCTCAGAATTCCAGTTCTTTCTCTCTCCAGTAACTCTGTAGCACTTTCGTGGCAGTTGGAACTTCTTTATCTCTCTCTTATTCTGTGTTGGCCTCCAGGGCTGGGCTTACCCCCCTCCTGGGTTAAAACCAAAGGCTGAGGGTTACCCAGGTCCTGAAGGGGTTCCTTCCATAGACTTGCAAGGGGACACTTGCTTACTATGGATCTTCTTCCACAGGGTTACAGGGGATAATGGTTTAAGAGTTCACCCCTGTTTCTCTATGGAGGTCCCTCCCCATGGGAGAACAGTCCTTGATTGACTTCTCGGCATGGGTTCAGTTTGGATCCCTTACTCGGATCCCAATATCCCACCTGAGCCATTTTTCTGCTCCAGCGTAGGTTCTCTCTAGCACCAGCAGCACGGATCCCACACATGGATCCCAACATCCCTACCTGAACCGTTTGTGTTCCAGCGTAGGTTTTAATACCCATCAGGGTCATAAATCTTCAACAGCAGCAGCATGGATCTCTCACTGAGATCCCAAGCTTATCTGAGCCGTCTCGCTCCAGCATAAGCATCGATCCCTTCGAGGGTCACAAAGTCTTTAACAGGACTCTGCCTCATCTGAGCCACTTTTACTCCAGCATAAGGTTTTCTCTCTGTTAAAGTCACAAATCTCTGGTGCATCCACAAGCTCCTCTGTGAGCCGCATGGGGGGTTTCTTCACTCCAGCAAACTTCTACAGGTGGCAGGGTTTTTATTTTTCAGTCTTTACCCTGTTGAAGGGAGGGAGAGCGGAAGGGAGAAAAAGCAGCTCTCCCCCCTTCGAACTTTTCTTCTCTCTCCTGTTGCAGTTTCAGCTGCCAGCTTCGACCTTGGAAATTCTGTTATCTCATGGCTGGAATTCTTCTGCAGCGGTTTCTCATTTAAGCAGTTCGTCTTTTAAACTTTTTTTTTTCTTTACTCTCTCACAAGAGAGAAGGGAGGCTTCAGTGCTGCACCTGCCCCCCTCCCCAGCCCAAGCCGGGGAGGAGGGGGCCTTGGCCCTCCTCGGGCCCGCTACCCTTCTACATGGCTGCTGTTCCTAATTTCAACTGCGCAACAACCTTCTCTTCCGTTTTCTTAAAGATGTAATTAGCAAAGGCGTCATTGAACTTTTTGATTGGTTTTTTGTCCGGAAATCACCTGGACAAAACCATCCTCAGCCCCAGGGATGAGCTGGTGGGCAAAACCACGACAGTATAGTGTCACTCCACATTATGGCTTTTTAATTTATTCTTGTGATAGGAAGCCCAGGACAAGTACTCTAGATGTGCTGGGTGGAGGATAATAGTCACTGACTGCTTCCACAAGTGTGGTGTGATTCTTTTTGTCTGATAGCTGTGAAAGTTAAACAACCCAAGGTTCCTAAGTAGGTGGTTGGGTTAGGGGCAGTAACAGATGTTCCTTGTGGGATGCTGATTTCATAGGCTGGAGGATATGATTCTTTGCTGCTGGTTTCCTCTGCTGATTTGGAGGATCTGCTGTCAGTACACACATTACAAAAGTTCTAATGGGAAGAGAGAAGCCACGTAGATCCTAGAAAGAAAACAAGAAACTAGCTGAGAGGTCTTATTCTGTCTTATTCTGCATTGCTTGTCTTCCTCCTGTGGTTCATTTCCCTTGTTGTTCCTTGCTGACTTACCCTGGGGACTTACAGTGCTTTGCTGTATCTGTCAACAGGTGAAAAGAACAAGCAAAGTCAGGTTCATTGAATCTTTGAGGGGTTTGTAAGTGAACCACAGAATCACAGAATGGTTTGGGTTGGAAGGGACCTAAAAACTCATCTTGTTCCACCCCCTGCCATGGGCAGGGACACCTTCCACCAGACCAGGTTGCTCCAAGCCCTGTCCAACCTGGCACTGGACAACCTCTCTGGAGAGCCTGTTCCAGAACCTCATCACCCTCACAGTAAAGAATTTCTTCCTAATATCTAATCTAAATCTCCCCTCCTTTATCTTAAGGCCACTTCCCTTTGTCCTGTCACTCCCTGCCCTTGCGAAAAGGCTCTCTTCAGCCTTCCTGTAAGCCCCTTTAGGCACTGGATGGGGCTCTTGGGTTTCCCTGGAGCTTTCTCTTCTCCAGGATGAAGAACCCCAACTCTCTCAGCCTGTATGGAAGTTCTGATAGGAAGAACTAAAAGGGAGTTCTCTTAAAAGTATAGTCATGGGGATTCCAACTTAGCTTGGATGTTCCTGTGTAGGAAAACTTAACATCCTTTCCCTCATTAGCATTCCTGGGTTTTACCTAAAGGCTCTGTTAAAGCACTGAAAGCCTGTTAGGATTTCCTCTCTCTGAAGGCTATCTGTGTTGTCATTGAAGGGGAAAGAGTTAAATTTGGGGAGCCTTGTTTTTTCTACTCTTTTAACCATCTTTATGTTTTTACTACAGAAAAGACCTCCAGGATCATGGAGTCCCACCTTAGGACTGCATAAATATGACTATCAAGTGTAGTTGGCTATTGTAAAAAGTAGAATCATAGGATAAAACACTGTCTTTATTTGTTCATTTCCTTTCTGTGCCTTGTCTTTGTTGCATGTATTACTCATCTTGTCCTATTCCCAGGTGATGGTTTTCCTGGGTAATGCTCATGTTTGTGCAATATTTGGTTCAGTGTAGTCTATCAGACTGTTCAGTGACTTACAGCTTCTTTTAAAAGAATGAAAGCTGCTGCAATACGAATTGGTACACCCCTCCCTTAAACATCACTGAGAAATAATTTAGGTCCTTAAACCTAAAATGGAGGATCTTTCCCAG